AATAATCCTCAGGTGAGGAGGCCATATGGAATTACATCTGTGGATGGAATGACATGCAGTCCGCACTCGCAAAACGTTAAGATCCACTTCATCCTATCGTACTTTTGAAAATTTTCAAACAGCATAATCCGAGACGTATGTTATGCAGTTCCTCGAAGCCTAATGACGTTAACAATCCCTCTCCTTCCCACAGCACACAGTTTTCCTCTTTTCTTCCTCTTCTCTGAAAATAAAAGCTAAATTTTCAAAAAATATTATAGGAGAATCCCTCCCTTCCAATTCTTGCCCACATGAAAATTGTAGGCTGTATTTATAATACAATAAGTTTGGAACTAGAAGATATTGGTATTTTACACTGGCTATTTGATAAATTGAACCACCCGAAAAACCAAACCCAGCTCATGTTCGAAGACAGGAGGACAGGCCCTTCCGAAACAAATAGGCAACAAATTCAAAAATTCAGTACTCGCAAAGCGCGATCCGTTGAAAGAGCACTGTGACAAACTGTTTTTATGCGTTTTGCATTATGTAACGCTGCATAAAACGCACATTGTCACGGGGTTGTGTGTCTATGTGTGCTCGATGCATTTTGTCCGCAACTTTCAACTCGAGAACCATAAAAGGTAGGAAGCTGAAAATTTATGAGAGTGTTCCCGACCACATGTGACCCAGCAAATTTAATTCCAGCCTTCCCTTACTCGTGGCCACCACTTACGACCCTGTGAAAGTCTTGACAGAGGAAATTATCTCGGAAACTATGAAGGCTAGGAAGCTGAACTTTTAAAGTAATGGCCTCTGCCCAAGTACGACCTCGCAAGCTTAAAATGAGACCTCCCGCGCACCCGGATATCACGTAAAAGGCCCCACGTAAACCTTGGCGAAGAAATTATTATTTCGGGGACCGCATAAGCCAAAAAGCTGAAATTTTACAATATTGTCCCCTGCCCAAGTACAACTCCACAACTTTAAATTCAGCCTTCTAACTTTGGACACCACTTACAACTCGTGAAAGCTTTTGAGGAAAAAAATTACTATCCTGGAAGCCAGAACAGCAAGAAGACTGAAAATTTCAAGAGGTTGTTATTTGCCCATGAAGGGGCCTCAAACACTCGAATTCAGTTCCCAAGTATGCCGAGGCTTTGTCGCCTCATTTTTCTATCGTCGATTTGGACAAAACTGTCCGCGTTCGTTCTGTTTTCTTTTTCCTTTTGAGCGTTTGAAAGATCGTCGTGTTTTTGTGTTTTGACGTCGTGTAAATTGTTCATATTGTATGTGCTGAATAAAGTTTAATAGCCCAAATTTGAGGCTCGGTTATCGGAGTTAACGGTGCCGACTGAGGACGATCGGAATCGATTCGGTACTTGGCTGACCTATTGTGACTTGTAACTACTGTAATGGTACTAATTAATTTTTTGAAGATGCCAATAAGTCCGAAATTGCATTTCGACTGTGAAAAAGGAACCAGCAGAAGAGGAACGAAGACTAGAATCTACGCTCCAAGAATCCAAATGCCAAATTTGGATTTCATTTTGTTTATTTTGCTCGGAGACTAGCCATCCCGAAGTAAAATTTGAAGTCCTGACTAAACAAAAAGCAACTGGTTGTTCAGAATATTTTAGCAACATGAAACTGGATGATGTGTATGTCTCAATGAGTGAAAAATGCCAAATTTTTATAAAATTCAACAAAGTTTCAGTCGGAAAACGAATAACAATAATGTTGCGACTAATCAAAGTGCAAAACTGCGCTCTTTCTTCGCTTTTATTCGTCGGCTTTTCGTCTGTTTCAGCACTTCACGCAGCGTTTTTTCAGTGAGCGCATTGAACTGCACTTCCAGAAGCACATAAAGTCCTTAAAAAATTGATGTGAGGGTTAGCGAAATCACAGTATTCAAAAACTAAAAAACAAATATGCGACAAAATGATGAAACGAATTTACCGCATCAAAAAGAAAAGAGTGTACGAAAGGTCAAATAAACTAGAGAATTTACCAACCGTGTTCTTCGAGAACCATGCTACGAAATAACAACTAATCTAGGTATAATAATTTTTAGATTAATAACTGAAAAATCATATCACCTTCTCGGGCCACTTTTTTGCACGATTTTGGCTTATAGC